TTTAGGGTTTAGGGTTTAGAGCGTTAGGGTTTTAGGGTTTAGGGTTTAGGGCTTTAGGGCTTTAGGGTTTTAGGGCTTTTGGGTTTTAGGGCTTTAGGGTTTTAGGGCGGGGTTTAGGGCTTTAGGGTTTGGGGTTTAGGGCTTTAGGGTATGCGGTGTTAGGGTCCGGGGTTTTAGGGTTTCAGGTTTTTTGGTGGTTTGGGGTTCAGGGCTTGAGGGGTTGTGGGTTTTGGGGTTGTAGGCTTTAAGGGTTTCCGGGTTTAGAGCTACCCTAAACCCTAAACCCTAAACCCTAAACCCTAAACCCTAAACCCTAGGTTTCCGGGTTTAGAGCTTGAGGTATGGGGAGATACGTGGGCTTCAGACGTAAGTCATGCCTGGCTTTCTTCTGCAGAATCGTCAAACCCCGAAACTCTTAAAACCTAAACCACAAAAGCCTAAACCCTAAACCCTAAACCCTAAATCCTTAAATCCTTAAAACCTAACCACAAAAGCCAAAAACCCTAAAGACCCCAAACGGAGCTTCGAAGGAGATCAAGGTGAAGAGCGACTCTTACCTCATCAGGTGCTCCAGCGATTTGCAGCCACCATCTCTACCCTAAACCCTAAACCCTAAACCCTAAACCCTAAACCCTAATACCCAAACCCCAACCCCTTACCTCTAACCTCCCAGCCCTAAACCCAAACTTGAAAACTCTACACCCCTAAACCCTAACCTCTAACCTCCAAGCCTAAAGTCTCAAGCCTCTACAGCCTAAAGACTAAGGCTTCTCCCAGAGAAGCCTTAGAGCCTCGCCCACTATAGGAGCCTAAATTATTACCTGTACTATTTTTGGGGCTCCTTATTATAATCGTAGTATAGTATACCCTAAACCCTAAACCCTAGACCCCTAAACCATCACCATTAAGGCCCCTACATGAGAGCCTCGCCCAGTTCGGCTCAAGAAGCTGCCCTCCCCCTCGCGTCGCCCGTCTCTCTGCTGCTTCCGGTCGGCTTCCCAGCTTTCTTCTTGCTTTTCGCTTGGTAGGTTGAGGTTTTAGGGTATAATGTAGGGGCCTTAATAATTAGAATCGGGTTTTGGGGCCCATTATGCTATAATTATGATAAGGAGCCACCAAAATTTTTGTAGGTAATGATGGAGGCCCCTATATTAGGGTTTAGGGTTTGGGGTTTAGGTGGTCAGCTTCCCAGATTTGTTGTTTTTGAAGAGCAGTCCTGACGCTACCGAGGACCGAGAATGGGTGGACAAATCTGCAGGCGGGAGCCATCAATTTTAAACCCCTAAACCCCTAAACCCTAAACCCCTAAGCCCTAAACTCCTAAATCCTAAACTTTAAACCCTAAACCCTAAACCCTAAACCCTAAACCCTAAACCCTAAACCCCTAAACCCCTAAACCCTAAACCCTCAGCTCCTCGAAGGCTCGACCCTTCGCCCTCAAATCCTAAAGCCCTACAGCCCTAAAGCCCTAAACCCGAAAGCCCCGAACCCCAAAACCCTAAACCCCAAACCCAACCCTACGCACTAAACGCTAAACCCACATGACCCCTTTAACCCGTATACCTCCCTTTAAGGAGCCCTTTACGTCACTAAGTCCCATGACCCCCAAAAGTGGGAGGCACACCCTAAACCCTAAGCCCTAAAACGCCAACCCCAAGCCTTAAACTCTTAGCCCTGATGACCCTCTTCAATCCGTATAAACCCCTATACATCCCAAAAAGTTACTAAGTCCTAAACTCTAAGCCCTCAGCCCAAAACCCTAAACCTTAAACCCTAAACCCTAATTAAACCCTAAACCCTAAACCCTAAACCGCAACTGACCCCCCAAAATGGGGGAGGCAGATCTGCAATCGGCCGAGCGAGACCGGCGATGCCGTCGACCAGCTCAAGGCCTTGGCTTCGGGCTCATGGGACCGTTTAGGGTTTAGGGTTTAGGGGTTTAGGGGTTTAGGGGTTTAGGGTTTAGGGTTTAGGGTTTAGGGTTTAGGATGAGGGATCCTTTTAAGGGATCCTTTAAAGGATCCTTTTAAGGGATTCTTTAAGGGATCCTTTAAGGGATCCTTTAAGGAATCCTTGAAGTGATCCTTGAAGGGATCCTTTCAGGGATCCTTCAAAGGATCCTTTACGGGACCCTTGACGGGACCCTGTACGGGATGTAGCAGGGTTCCTTTAAGGGATCTATTGGGGTATAGGGTTCTAGTGAAATATCACTGTTGGATGATCATTAATCAGTAAACGGACTGTGATTAAATCACTCGTTGGGAGCACTCAACCCCGGTGAAGTCCTTTGAATTGGGGGCAACAACATGGGAGGCCTATGCGAGCAACTTTGTTGTCAGCACGGGCGCCTCAAACACAGGTTCCTAAAACCCAAACCCCGCAAGCCTGTAAGTCCAAAGCCCCCAACCTCCGAAACCCGGATCCTGAACCCTAAACCCCAAACCCAACCCAACCACTGCACTTTTAACAAAAAATCCCAATACCCTGAAGACCCTAAACCCTAAACCCTGAACCCCAAGCCCTAAACTCTAAGCTTGAAGCCGATATGCTGAACCCTGACCTCCCGCAAACCTGTGACATTTTTTGCAGAGCAAGCACCTGCAGGTGGTGTCGGCGCCCCCTGCGGTCTTGGGTGGCTTGACTGAAGCTTAAACCCAATAAGACCCCGCAAACCCTTCATGTAATGTAGAGGCCGTAATAGGTTTTGGGGGTTCCATATTATAATTATAGTACAATATACCCCCAAGCCCTTTTCTATTTATCAGGGCCCCTACCTCAATCATTCGTGTAAAGCCACTAGAAGAAGCCTGACAAAGCAGCGAAACCCGGTAGTTCAGGACCCCAAACCTTACACGCGCCCCAACGCCCCCCCAACCCCCTAAACCCTAAACCCTAAACCCTAAACCCTAAACCCTAAACCCTAAACCCTAAACCCTAAACCCTAAACCCTAAACCCTAAACCCTAAACCCATATCCAGGTCCTGAGGAGACGAAGCAGCTCTACGTCCGAGCAAAAGCAGCAGCGGAGCGGGTCGAGACGGCTCCGCCCCACGAGAAGGCCAGGCTGCACACGACTATGACACACGCACGTGCTCACCCTCTCTCACTCCATAAGGCTATATATATATATATATATGTGTGTGTGTGTGCGTGCATATAGATATATATGTGTATACATCTATATATATATATAGAGATATACAGGTATATGTCTGCAAGCAAGTAAGTAATTATGTATGTATGTATGTATGTATGTATGTATGTATGTATGTATGTATCGATGGCGAGTGGGCGTTTGGAGCAGTTGGGGTTCAAACTGGGAGCCTTCCGTAAGCAGCCCCAAATCCTACACCCTAAAGGTTCAGGGTTTCGGTTTCTAAACCCTAAACCCGTGAACCCTACACCCTAAACCCTAAACCCTGAGTTACTAAACCCTAAGCTGCAGCGGGGTGCCCCATCGGAGGCTGCTGCTTGGCAGGAGTGCAACAAGACGTGGGACCAAGTGATGGAGGCCTGGGTGAAAAACAGAGTTTACCCTGCAAAACCATGAGGATGGCATTATCGCAGTGAAAAAAAGGGGCCTTAATAACAACTACCAATACTATTTAAAGGGCTCCTTCTTGTATTTAGAGTATGATATACCCCAAAACCGAATTCTAATTATTAAGGCCCCTACGCCCTACACTATCGCAATTCGCAATGCACATGATGCCCCAGAAATATCGAAGTCCATACGACAAAGCACACTTACAGTGTAAGCTCCTTAAACCCTACAGCCATAGGTCCTTTTATGCAATCCGATGAAACACGCCGATTCTAGTTAATGTCTGTGACGAGAGCCAAACCCTGCACCCCTTAGCTCTAACCCCTAAGCCCGGAATCCTGAAGCCTAAACTCATAACCTCAAACCCAAAACCCTACACCCAAGACTTAAAACCCGAAACCCGAGGCTTTAAACCCTAAGCCCCAATCCATCCACCCTAAACTCCAAAACCCTAAACCCTAAGCCCCAAGCCATCCACTCCAAACTCCAAAACCCTTAACCCTACCCCCTAAACCCTAAACCCCAACCACCCTAAACTCCAAAACCCTAAACCGTAAGCCCCTAAAGCGCACCTCGTCAGGCCCAGAAAGCCGCGAAGGAGGCTGCAAGACATGAGTACAAGGAGTCTGCCTATGAGGAAGTTCCTTGTAAGGGCTCCTTTCAGGGGTCTTCGGGGTTCAGGGTTTTGGGGTTTAGGGTTTAGGTATGACGGTTCCTGCGGGCTTCGAGAAAGGAGCCCTTAAAGGACTTAAGGAGGCCTTACAGGAACCCTTAAGGGTTCCTTAAGGGTTCCAATCAGGCTCCAGGAGGTGCGCTTAGAGTTTGAAGTTGGGGCCTGAGGCGGGTGGTTTGGTATAGGGCTTATGGTTCTGCGAGTCTGGGGTTTAGGATTTAGTTTTTTTTTTTTTTTTCCCGTCGAGGTTGTTAAGGGGCTTTGGGTTTCAGCGCTTCTGGTTTGGGGAGCAGTGCAAGGAATCGGTGCATGTGGAGTTGGCCGGTGAAAAAAAGGGAAAGCAACCCCCTGCATACGTCATGCGTGTGAAACCCTAGAAGATTCACAGCAGGAATTGTCTGCAGGACCGATAAAACCTCACCCAGTTGCATTACAGTGGCCTAGATGCTCTGATGGTTTGATGCCGATTAACATCGCAATCAGCCTCCTCTGATCGTCATTCTCGTTGCCAGGGTTGTCTGTGAAACTGCTTCGTGCCCCAGCTGTTGGATAGAACCGGTAGGACGGGATGGACGGGCATGTCCAATTCTGGTACGGGAGGTTTGTGCTACATGGGTAGTTTTCAATGTCAGGGTCCCTTTTAGGGCCCTTTTTATAAGGGTGCCGTACTATATTGGGGACCCAAAAAGGGACCCTAATTTAGAGAACTGCCCATATGTCCTTAAACTATAGGATAGAGCAGCCTGAAATAGCCTGGTACAAACTTGAGAGGCCCGGAGCAAGAGCCCTACAAACAGAGTCTCAGAAAGCTCTCTCGGAAACCCCCTACACCCTAAACTCCCTAAACCCTAAACTCCCTAAACTCCCTAAACCCTAAACCCAAAACCCTAAACCCCAAACCCTAAACCCCAAACCCTACGCCTGCAGGAGGCTCAGAAAGCCCTGGCTGCCGTGGAGGCGGCGCCCGCCTCCCAGCGAGCGGCAGCATGGTACGGGCCCCGGCGTAAGATTCGGGCTCCTTTAGGGGTTTAGGGTTTAGGGCTTAGGGTTTAGGCTTTAGGGTTTAGGGTTTGAGCTCTAGGGTTTAGGGCTTAGGCTTTAGGGCTTATTGTTTAGGGTTTAGGGTTGAGGGTTTGAGCTTTAGTGTTTAGGGTTTAGGGTTCAGGGCTCCTTTTGGGGTTTAGGGTTCGGGGTTCCTTCAAGGTTCCTTTCAGGGATCTATACAGGTTCTTAGAGGGGCTTCGGGTTCGTTGAGGGCGTTTATGAACATGAGGGTGCTATAAACAGGGTAAAGTAAGGACATTTGCAATAGCACAAGAAGGGTTACTAACCCAAAAACCAAAACCCGATGCCCAAAACCCAAAACCCTAACACCCAACACCCAAAACCCCAAACCCTAAACCCCTATACTACAAGGTACGAGGATCCTTTAAGGGGATCTATAAAGGCTCTGTCAGGGTCAGAGTATAGGGCGCGGGCTTCCGGGTTTAGGGTAAGCCTGAAACCCTAAACCCTAAACCCTGAACCCTAAACCCTGAACCCTAAACCCCAAACCCAAAACCCTAAACCTTGAACCCTAAGTTCTGTTGGCGTTTCTTGGGCTTCTGGGGCTTATTTTTGGGTTGGGGTTTGGGTTACAGGATCTTCGGGGAACTAGGGTGGTCAGGATGAACCGCCATAGGGTAAGGTAAGAAGTATGAGCCCCTAATATGGACCCTTAGGCCTTTATTAGGGACCCTTAAGGGTAAATATAGGGTATATAGTAGGTGTAAAAGGATCCCAGGGTTAAGGGCCCATACTAGGGGCCCATGGGTTCAACCTTCGACATATGGTGGATGATCTAAACCCTGCAGTACCCGTAGGAAGGAAGGTGTTAGCCACAAGTGCTGTCATTGTAGCAAGAATCTACCATAATTCCCATAGTTCAGGGTCCTTAAGGTAATGCAGGATTTATATCATCAGCACTAGCAATAGCTCTGGTAAGGATCGCAGAAGTCTTCATGCGACTACTAACAGCAACAACAAATCGAGACATCAGCATGGCACTAGCGCAGATGCTGAGGTTCCTGTGTGACATAGTCGCGCAACCCTAAACCCTAAACCCTAAGAGGGGGTTTACGGTTTTAGAGTTGAGGGTCTAGAGCACACTTGCCCGTAAAACGCCGAGGAGAAAGTGCGAAGCCACCTGGGCAGCTGCTATGGCAGCTTGTTCGCAGAGTGTATCATATTATATATATATATAGATTGGAATAGCCGCGTCTGTTCGTGGGCGAAGAGCGGCTGCTATTCTTAGGGTTTAGGGTTTAGGGTATTGCTACTCCCGCAGTCTCCCTAACCGCTGCACCCTAAACCCTAAACATAAACCCTCAACCCTGAACCCTAACCCCTACACCCTAAACCCTAATCCAAGGGCTTTCATGCTTCCTTTCTCTTTCCTGAGGCCAAGGGCGCCTGACCTGAGCCATGGAATAGGGCAGCCCTGGGAAATCGCAAGAAAGGAAGACCCTGAACCCTAAACCCTAAACCCTAAACCCTGAACCCTGAACCCTGAACCCTGAATCCTAAACCCTAAACCCTAAATCCTGAAGCCGACATGCAGGGCATGGAATACGGAATGGATCATAGTCAATCTTCGACAAAGGGCTGTCTGTTTGGCACAATGCCTCCGGTGAACAGTTGCAACTGCTGTGGGTGCTTGAATCGCAGTGCTGGAACGTGCAAAACGCTTCGTATCTGTTCCAGGTCAGGGTCAATGTTCGATTCTGGCGTCCAGTCTTCAGCAGGTTAGCACGGGAAACAGCCTTCCGTGGTCCGTGCTGATTCTTTGGCATTGCAGAGCCTAGTAGAATAGCAGAGCTATTTGATATGCTCTGCACTCACACGATTTTCCTCCAGTTACACAGGCATTCGCTGCCCGTTGTTTCAATCCTGATAGCTCAAGCCTCTGCCATCGTCTACACTGAAAGCCGGCCATGGAACCCTGACCGAACTCTTATCAAACCCCAACCCTAAACCCTAAACCCTAAAAATGAAGCCCTAAACTTTTCCCTGGTTATGAGGGGAGAGCGCGGGCTGGCTCGGACACAGAACGGCTGAAACCCTAAACCCTAAACCCTATTTGTCTTAACCCGAAACCCTAATGTTTGAACCCTTACATATTTAAAGTTTATGATTTAAGGTATAATTACTATATACCCTACATACACCCTTAAGCGTTCATATTTGGGCTGAGAGCCCCAAACCCTAAACCCTAACCTCATAACCCTAAGCCCTAGACCCTAAACCCTAAACCCTAAACCATCAACCCTAGACCCTAAACCCCCAACCCTAAACCCTAAACCCTAAACCCTAAACCCCCATGGTCCATTTTGGCAACGCTGGCCTTGAGGCGCTCTGCTTTCCCAAGGCCCGTTAGCCGACTTGGATGAGGCTTCAGCCAGCGGTTCAAACAAAAAGTGCGATCTTGGGTTAGGGCATTTAGGGTTTAGGGTTTTGGGTTTAGGGTTTAGGGTTTAGGGTTTTGGGTTTAGGGTTTAAGGTTTAGGGTTTAGAAGCCATGTCTGGATCCTGGTTGGATACAGTGTCACATTTTTGTAACGGTTTAGGGTTTAGGGTTTAGGGTCTCTGGATCCTTGTTGGATACAAGGTTACATTTT